ACACAGTTCTTGGATCGTGGACACAAGGCTTTAGAAACCTACCTCATAATAGAGGACTTTTCCTCTACCCGTCTGTATTACAAAATTTAAGGGCTGATTTAAGAACGAAACGTTTTACAGGGCAAGACAGGGTAGAGAGACCCGTTCTCGGAATTATCTGCCTATTGAAGTATCAGCTGTACGATATATAAAGGTAACGCACTCGACAGGGTGAGAATCGTGGCTTATTTGCCGCATCGGAGATATATTTAATTTTCCTAAGAAAAAGTTAGAAAAAGTAGTGTCTATATCCTAGTGATCGCAATTACACGTGATTACAGGTTATATCTCGTCGAGTCCACAAATTCTCGATTCAAAGTTGGAATTGAAGAGAACACCTGGAAGGACAAGTTAACTTATCCGGCTGATACACCCGCCTGGTACATACATCCAGAATACAGAAAATAATACAGTGGAAACATGGCATCTATGCCATTGCACGAGGCACTAGGACCGCTGGCCTGGCTGGAGGGAACGTGGCTATTGGAGGGTCAGGGCGATGGCAAGTACCCGACGATTCAAGATTTCAACTATTACGAGGAGTTGAGCTTCACGTCCATGGGGCAACCCATGTTCAACTATACCGCGCAGAGCTATGCCTTGGACTTGAGGAAGCCGATGCATCGGGAGACAGGCTTTGTGAAGGTGAACCCGGCAACTGGTCAGGTAACTCTTATCTCGGCGCATAGTTTTGGCCTGACGACCATTGAATGTGGCGAAACATTCGACAATGCTGTTACTTTTAACAGTACTGATATAACCAGGATGGAAGGAGCGAAGATGCCCCACGTTACTCAGGTACTTACTAAATTTTATCAACCTGTAACTCGGTTGGCTTTTGCCAAGTAGATAACAGCTTGATTGCACAATTGAAATAACGTAATTGAACTTGACGGTAGGTGCGCAGGGAATTTAAGCTCCACGATAATTGTTTGGAATATGTGCTTTACATGGCGACGTCGAATACTCCAGTATTGACCGAACACTTACGAGCGAAGTACGTGAAAGCGAGCGAAGGGTTTAAAAGATGGTAAAAGAGGTGTGAAGGGCAATATTTGTTAATTTCAATTTTTCAGCCAGATTACAATGTGCTCTTTGCGTCTAGAAACATTCTGCTTTATATAAGCAAATCAAAACGCGTCGAAAATTTGTCGACAGCATACGATTGTACGATGTACAATGTACCATTTATCAACTTGCATAAGTTCTTTAGATGTATTTATCGCGGCTACAAATTTCTAGACGCAAAGAACACATTGTAGATCGGGATTTACTGGTTGTGATTATGATTTTGCAAGTGGCACGCGTTAATAAAATGTTAAAACGGCAGAAAAAGTATGTACATGTCAAATCAATTCATTATTTGATAATCTACTGCGATTGTATGAGCATCCGTTGCATGACTAAACTATTATTAGCAATGCCATTATAGATCACAGATTCCATGAAGTGGCCTTTAAAACTTATTCATTGTTCGTTATGTAATAGCTTGAGGCCTGCTTTTTGTACGTATATTATGACTGCGTAATATTACGTTTTCTACTTGCTCGAAACGTGTATATATAATTAAACGTCGGAGGGAGAAGGAGGAAAGACGAAAACTCAATAGGCGTTGAAAAGGACAGACATTATTTAATGATACATGAAGCGTATGTTTTTTTCCGATGGCGATTACGATTTCCGTTGCGAGATAAGTGTCGAGCGGTTCGGTAACGTTGCAGAGCGTCACGTGGTAGCGTACAGCTTCGTATTATAAATTCGAGGATGATTCAAAGGTATAAAATACCGGAAGTCTCGTGCTGCGAGTTCAGTGTCGAGTGCGGCTTGCGGTGTGTAAGTTACGTGAAGGACGCGATTAAAAGCCTTGCCGGATTGTCCGACCGCTAGCTACAACAGGCTACAACTAGCTGCAAAGATGCTTATGAGCATATTACCGCTGCACGAGCTGCTGCACGTGCTGACCTGGTTGGAGGGCACGTGGATTACGGACGAGCCCGCAGTGGGCACGTATCCGACCATCAAGCCCTTCAACTACTACGACCAGATCAACATTACGTCCATAGGTCAGCCGTTGTTCAACTACGTCGCGCAGAGCTGGCATCCGGAAACGGGGGTGCCGCTGCATCGGGAGACCGGCTTCCTGCAGATCATACCGGGAACCAAGAAGATCGCTCTCAGTCTGATCGACAACATAGGTCTGTTTACCGTCGAGCAGGGTAATCTGGTGAACGACGACAACGGTACCGCGGTCGAATTAAAGAGCACCAATATACTCACGACGGACGCATCGATACCGTCTTTTCCGACTTTGACAGAGGTACGGTCTCGCGTTTCCACCGCAAAAATCTAGCGCGTTGATAATTAAGTAAGTGTATCGATTATTTATTCGATTTTTTCCCTTTCCCCACGACAGACGCGTCGAGTGTACAGACGCAACGGTGACTACTTGGAGCTCGTCTTCTACATGGCGACGTCGAAGACACCCGAGCTGACGGAGCATTTGCGCGCTAGGTATAGAAAGGTGGCATGAGGATCCGCGAAGGAATATGTGTACGTGTGCGCGTGTCCGTGACACGAAAATAGGGAAGAATCTCTAAATCTCTAGGAATTATCCATTCGTTACCAGTTTTGTAATTATTTACAAATAGGAAGCAAAAACGTGTCTACCCTCTAGAAACGCAGAATTATACATGTACTCTTTAATGTAGTTAATAAATAACAACGTGGACCTCATTTATTAATGCGGCACGATGTGTTCGCTCGCACACATACACACGCACATACACAGTTGCGCGCCTTCTCTTATTTCGCTTTTATCAAGGTGAATCAACTAACTGGAAGGTTGGGGGTTGGGGCGTACGATATCTAGGAGAAAATTTGCAACTAGCACGCGACGTGGCCGCATAGAGAATGCGCCGCAAATTGCATTCTTAAGCGTATCCTTTCACGCTCGATCGATGGAAATTAGTTATATTTCGTCGCTAACTACTGCAATGTGACTTTTATCGATTGCGATATACTTGCGGGCATTGCGAGTGACGTCGGAATTACGTAGGAGTGCCAAAAGTTTCAATTTGGTCTCTACTTTTTAATTCGCATCGGATTTTATCGCAAAATGAAATTTAGGATAAAAAGGCTCGAAGAATAATATTCAATGATGCGATAATCAGCGATGAATCCATTTTGGTCCAACTCCAAAGACCATCTTGCGTTAAGAACAGAAGAATTAAGCTCGGACTTAACAAAAATTGCTGTGAATCTTAAAATTTAACGAACTAAACATTGAAACGTTCACCTTCTGTGAAATTAGGTGTTTAACTAACTGTTAAGATTGGAGGAAAAAGGTGCCTGGTAAAGAAGAAATTGGCAATTTAACTTCTTATTGTTTCACATGAATCTATTGTATCAGTTTTGTATTAGTGGTACGAAGATTCGAGTACGAGTTCTTTTTAAGTACGAAAAATCACGACTGGTACAGATAAGAGATGATCATCATGCGGGTACGAGCCCACACGTGGCGAAGAACGCGGGCCCATTTCGTAATATCGTGAAATCCAAGTTAAACGGCCGCTGCTTGGTCGCACGAATTTGCTCGGCATAAAGGGGGTAGGGAACGTAACACCTGCGTGTTTACCCGCTGAAACAGCCCCGACCTGCCACGGCGGGCTCGACGATTCGACCGCGACAGTTGCTCGCCGCGTCGGCATGACGAAGGATCGTTTCCTCGCCCTGGGAGGCCGCATATCGGACTTGAGCACCGAGTGTTCGTTTCGTTATCGTCGCATCGCTACCGCGATCGCGCGCGGGTAATTCGGGGTAATTCGAGGGTACTCGCGACACACGACCTGATAGAAATATTTTGCTGAAAATAATATGAAATCGAAAAGTGAAAGTTATTAAAAAATTACTGAATGTACATCGAAAAGAAGCATAATTTTTCTCATAAAATTCAATATAACACTGTACAATATAAGGAAAGTTAAAATACACGTTGAAAAATAATAAAAAACTGTGTGTGTGAACTATTAGATATAAAATTACTGAATTTAACTAAAAACTGGGTTACTTTTAAATACAAAATTTTTGTAATAATTTTTCACTGTTTTTTTTAAATATTGATGAAGTGATAATGAAACCGGGTTAATTGAGAAAAATTTTTAAATACATTTCAGTAAAGTATCATTGTATTTTCAGTAAAATATTTCCGCCAAAACACTCGACCTCTCGTCCTAATAATTTAGTCTCCGTTTGACTCGAGCTTATTTGGTCATTTTCAAGTTTAAAGGTACGTGTCGTTCGAATCGAATCAAGTTGAGTCTTTAATCCCGTCCCTTTTTTTCTTTGTCTGCGACATGTCTTCGATTTTCTTTTAGCAACGTTTTTATGATTTCAATATTCCACGTTCTCCAACGACTTTCATTCGTTTTAATATTTCTTCGCATAATCCTCGCTTCTAGGAACCTCCTGTATTTCTTTATTTTTGTCAAAACTTTGCACGCTTCGTATTTCTTCCACCCTTTCTTTCATCTTACGGGGCTCATATTTCTTTCGGGAAAGTTAACGTGATTTGAGGTTCTTGGGGATTGCTAGACAACTGCGGGAAGATAATAAAAACGCATTTGTGCGCGGTTTGCATTATTCTTTTTACCATCCCTTTTTAGAGATGCTTAATTGCTCGAGTCACGATTATCGGCGCCGCAAGACTCCGTCGTCTCTCGAGTCGCACCGTACGCGAGTCCGAGCTTCCGTCGCGCGAAGCATTTGAATCGGTCGTGCGTCGATCGCCTCGGCGCGCACGATCGCCCTTCGACTTTTTCACCTCTGAATGGCGCGCAGCATGGCACCGCTTTACGACGGCCACGATTATTACAAGCGGATGTTCGAGCTCCAGGAGAAGCTGCGGAAGAGGCAAGTATACCGCTCGCGGAATAATCGCGCGAGCGCGCGGACTATCGCGGGGCCACGATTGTCGATAACGTCGCCAATTTTCCAGCGAGGAGGAGAGGATACGACTGGAGGAGCGATTCAACGTGCTCATGCGGGAGTCTCGTAGCAGGTGAGTGAGTCTCCGCCCGTTCGGGCATCCGAGAATTCCAACTTTTCGTCTTGTCGCGTACTGGCGCATTTAAATTTGAAACAGAGAAGTCCGGGTTACAACGTGACACGCTATTGTAATCATAGTGAAATTAATTCATAGTTGATCGTAGTGAAGTTCGCTATATATTTGTATAAAATTTATGAAGCTTGATATTGGTAAACTTTACTCTGATTGGTCAAGTTTCAATCTAATCTCAATCTCAATCCGTAGTCTGATACGGGTCTGATAATTTAATGCAATCTAATTAGTACACATTTCTTATACGGGGCCTTAAGTTTGTTTTAAGATGTTGTATGGAACATTTTATTGGCAATGGAGTATCTAAAGACTATCTTAAACATAAGATCTGACTATGAGTACTGTCCTAAACATTACTTTGTATGTTTATAATTTAATGCAATCTAATTATTACACATTTCTTACACAAGCCCGCGAAAAAAATAAAAGTACCCTGTGCTGGGAATCTAACTAGACTATTCTTATCTATTTTGAGTCGCTGATTACGAATCTGACGTCAAAATTGCTCCACCACGTTACCGGTTTTTTTTTTTTGGTAATCTTAACATTCAAACGTGCTCTCTAAAAGTCAATCAGTGACTTATCACTGAAAACAGTGAATATTCACCGATTCACAGTTATAATGCACTGATATTTTTTCTATTTTTGAGATTAGTAAAAATTGTGGTGGTGCGATTCTGACGTCAAAGTCGTAATCAGCGACTCAAAATACAGAAGAACAGCCTAGTCAGATCGCCAGTGCAAGACACTTTCTTTTTTTGTGGGTCTGTGGGTTTCCTGGCTTCATCCGTAACTCTTCCAACATTTCTAACGACATTCTAACATTTAGCAACGATGCTAGAGAAATTACACCTGAAATACTCGATATCGATCCAGTGGTAGTCCAGTTTCTGCGGAATGTCACGATCAATAAACGCCGCGGGCGCAATCCCATTCCCGTTCGGCATATCTTCGCGGTCGGGACGACGCGAATTCCTCTCCCTCTCGTTGTTTACGCGTCTCGATTCGTGTCTGGCCGAGACATCCGAGCGTCTCATCGATCGCGAATATAGGAATAAAAATGTTCGTATATTTCATGCCGCACGATAGCGCGCGTCTCCGTTTTTAATGGTGTTGCGTCAACGACATATTGTCGCGAAGACCTCGGTGACCTTACGCCATCGAGGTCACGAAAGTGGTTTCCTCGATCGCGAGGGAGTCGTATTTACTCCTCAATCGATATCCTAACTCTTTGGGCATGTGTGTACCACTCTACGTACAAACGTAAAAATATTTTTAAAAAAGAAAATATACATACATGAAGTACCTAATGCAACGCATAATCTTAATTTGTTGACTTTTTAATTGCAATTTACAAAATATGAGATAGCGGAGGTTTCTGTTGAATTAATAGGCAACTTCTGTTGACCCCACCATGAATTTAGTGCTCTTGGAGCGAAGTCTGTTTAGTGAAAAATTCTTTCATAGATTGTGTAATCGTTGCAAAAAAATTTGTGATTGAATTTGGGTATCGAGAACCTGCTATCTCTTATTAGAAACCTATCTCATAATGGAGGACTTTCCTCTAAATATAATGACAGAAAAATACAAGAAAGCGTCTTTTTAGTCAGGATATTATTCTTGGAGTTGCCACCCGATGGTAGTTCGATGCTTTTTCTTTTTATTTCAGACACGACATCTGTATAAATCGGTTGCGCATGAGGTACATACAATATCTGGAAGAGCAACGCACGAGGGATGAGAGGAATCACAAGCTTCTCGCGGCACTGGATGGAGTTATGAACAAACTCGCGCTGATAAGCGCGAAAAAAGACAGACTCAATGTTCTCCGAGTGAGTGTTCATTATTTTTTCAATCGGGGAATTTTTAATTACTCTATCGAGAAATTGCTTTATTGTTATTTGCTATTTTTTTGACATGGTAATATTAAATTCATTGCGTTGGAATAAAATAACGAATTGCTGCGAAATAAAAAGAATTACAGCCAACAAAATTACTATCTTTATCCGTTTCTAAGATCGATTTATTAATATATGTAGAATGCAATTAACTTAATACTCCAAATGAATTATAGTCGGGAGTCCGAGTCAGTAGTCGAGTTAGAGTCGGGAGTCTGTAGTCTGATACGGGCTTTACGCTCACACTCAGTCCATTCTGCACGTCGGCGGTTCTTTATAATCGCGCAACGAGACGTATATAAATGCAAGAGAACAACTCTATTGTTCCACATCGATTTGTTCTACCTTAACGAGCGTGAATGTTGACTGTTTTCCAGAAACAGTACGAGGCTTATTTACTTCGCGCTTATGCCAATCACCGGCCACCCGGTAGCGTCACCGGGGACAGTGGCATCGCCAGCCAGAATGAGGATAAATACACGACGAGGAAAACCGTTGCGATGGCACATCCCGATTTAGCGCCCGCGGAAACGAGAAGTGTTTCGTCACCGCGGATGCATCAGGGGGCGCCTGATCCCCAGCCGAGTCAGCCAAGAGCCGCGTCCAGGTTCCACGATCAAATTGCCGTGGACGCCTCGTTAAATAATCCTCCACCAGTCTTGACGGCTGCGCCAATAGGTGCAACCCTCGATGTCGATCATCGTCAGACGAGTGTCCCACGCGGATCGTATGTTTACGCTCCCTTGCCGAACGCTCATCAATATCTACGGATACCTTCCAATTACGACAAAAGCGCGCCTCGCAGTCTTCAGCATATTCCGGACATTAGCATCTCGTACGCGGACGCGCCGGTTTTGCCAGTGGCACCTCCCGACGACACGCGGTCCCAAGCTGTACCTGTTAACCGATTCTTTAGGGAGCATGTGGAATCGGCGCGGGCCGCGCCCGGTCTCTCGGCGACCGCGCGGTTCCCCGTTGGAGACGCGTCGCGGAACGTGCCTGCGCCACGTCAGTTCGACCCTTTAACATTACTGCAGTATCACGACGCCAATATATTGCTGTCCGACCCGCGATTACAGAGGGGAGAATACGATCCGTCCGACGCCGCGGCTGTGGGGCCAACTTTGGTGACCGGGAAATCGAGCACGTATCGAACGGGAGCCAGCGTGAATGTCGCTAACGAAATCGGCCCGCTGCCGGGATACATGGACTACGTCCTGCCGAGTGCGCAGAGATCTGACGACGAAGGGTCCACTCGTTCCATCACCAGCGACGACTTAGACGGTCTGATCAGGCGCAACGAACGCTTGTTGTGGGGCAAAGCCGAGATTGCCAGGACGCCTTGCCGACCGCCGATCCCTTCGGGAGTGGACAACGCTAATCTGGACGAGAACGACATGACAGCGCTGGTGGAGAACGAACTGGATCGATATATCAGCAACATTCGGAAACTCCATCGGGAGCACGGCGCGCAGAGCTTGGATGAGCTGGACCACGAGCAGAACACCAGCGGCGACTTGCTGAATGTCTCCCTGTCGGAGGACGCTCTGGAGCTGCCGGCCGAGGACCGGGCGAGGAAGGAGCGGGTGCCCGAGGAGATGGGCAAGATCCTGGCGTTGGCTAGCGACCTCGCGTCCAGGACGGCGAATCTGAAGGAGGTTGCGCGAGATTCGGCCGGGCAAAGCGGCAGCGTTAGCTCGCCCACGGAGGTCGAGGACGGAATTAGACGGCGCGAGAGCGACGCGTCGGAATTGAAAGGGAAACGCGAGGCTGAAGGCCGCGCGACATCGGTGAGAAGCGAAATTAGAGATGACGTTGCGACACGCTCGGCGAAATTGGAGCGGCCGCGCGGGGACACGAAAATTGCGAGGGAGAACTGGAATAATGCGGATGCGTCGGCCGGGTCGCGAGAGCGCGATCGGGAAGCATCTGCTGCGAAGAAAGACAACGCGAATGAGGAAACAGCCGCGAGTGACGATCCGAGGAATGCGCTCGAGGAGAAGCGGCTCGATCTTGTAACTGGTGAAGAGTCAAATATCGAGAATCTCCTCGACGCCGCCGAGGAACTGGCGCCGTGGGATCTCGCGAGTGTGCAGAAGCAAGTTCGCGAGTTGCATTTGGACGATTCCGATGGGGACCGAGCGGCGGCAAGAGACGCCGAAGACACGGTGGACAGGATCAGAGAGGAAGTCGCGAGCGAGTCGGGCGATTCGTCACGATTCATCGAGCAGAGCGGCGTGAATGACCAAGTGGAGAACGCGCCTCCTCGTTCGGAAGTGGAAACGACAAGGTTGGACTCAAGCGAGGCGAGTGAGATCGAGGGGCAAAACCAAACAGCTTCTATCGAGGTCGCGGAGAACGTGCCTTCTAAAGTTCCGAGTCAACAGCCAGCCGGTGAGGCTGAGATCACCTCGCAGCCAGGTGAGGCACTTGTTGGCGAGCCGAACGGAGGTGATGGAAGAAAAGGGGACGAGACGACGGAGCTTCGGGTCGACGAGCGACGCGAAGGCGCGGTGAAAGACAGCGGGTACAGCGTCGAGCAGGGATACCTTGAGGATCCGAGTCAAGTGCAGCAGTACGAGCAGCAGGATCCGAATCAGCAATATTACGACCCGAACATCCCGTACGAAGCTGGTAACGAGGAGTACGAGAGATACGCTGATCAAGGATACGCCCAGGAGGGCCAGGAATACGTCGAGTACGTGGATAGTCAGTACGAGCAGTATCCCGAGGATCAGCAGTACCAGGACTATTCCAACGCGCAGTACGAGCAGGACCCGAATCAAGCGTACGACTACGGCTACGACCCCAATCAAGGCTACGGGGATCCCGGCCAGCAGTACGACCCTAATCAAGGATACGAGAACAGTCCGGATAATCAGGCGTACGATTACACCGAGCAACTCCCCTACGATGCCAATCAGACGTACGACACCGCGTACGAGCAGGAGTACAAGGAGGAGCAGCGCGACGACGCTGCCGGGGATCGCGCGGAGAAGCCGGAGACGGAGGAGGCCACGCCGAGACAAGCGGATCCGGAGTCGGAGCGCAAGCCGGACGCGGACGGGGACGCCGTTAACGGGGCGGGTCAGCCGAGGAAGAAGAGGGACGTGATCAAGTCCCTGCTGGATTCCGACACGGACACGACGATCGAGCGCAATGTCTCGAACACGGAGAGCGATTTTGATTTCAATTAGGACGCGCGATGCGCCGGGAGGACACCGAGCCCGTTGCGGATGGAGAAAAGTCACTACGGCGAGATCTTGTTGACGAGATGAACGAGATCCTCGCGTCTTCGAGTGCCGGCGACCGAAACCGATTGACGCAAGGACAGTGACTCCGATTTTGACTGAAAAATGTGTGACGAGGGAAGAAAGCGCACAGTTAGGTAGCTACGAGCGGGGATTAAGCTAGCGGACGTCTAATTGAGACAAATTGGAGGAAGAACGCGATCGAGTCCCGAATGAATTTCAAAAACGGACGTTCGGTATCTACGCGCGAGAAACGCCTGGGGCGGTGAATTTAATTTTAATTACAGTTTCAATTAGAGCCCACGAGAGCTGTAGCGAACGGCGAGAATAAGTAATTACGAGTTTCGCTTGCGCAAATATCATATTTACACAATGTAGGCGTAGAATAAAATGGTGAAACAAGATGCGAGTGAAAATGTACGTTATTTCGCGGGCGTTCGCCTATTTTCGAGTAGTTTAATTAATCGTACATCCGTAAATGCGCGCTTACGGTCGCGAACGGACTCGTTACAAAATGCACGTCGACTGTAAAAGTCGACTGTCAGAAAGACATCGAGCTCGGGAAGAAATATCGAGTAAAAAGGTTTTGCGCAGACGAGAAGGGGCTAATTTTGGTTCAAGATTAATCAGCGACTTCATAGATTCGAGACGGCGGCGCAAAGTTGATGTCGAAGTGGGAGGAAACTCCCTTAAAGAATCGCTCCAAGTTTCCCCTTTCGTTTTCTCATCCGGAGCACGCGTGTATTGCGCAACACGCGCGACAACCCAGCGAATAAGCTCGTTCGGCGAGTACATTTATTATTTAACGGCGCCAATCGGTGATTCGCGTCTCAACCACGCAAAGTCGGCGGACTCGTTCTCTCTCGTCCGACGTCGTTTCTTTTCTTTTTTTTTCACGCGAGGTTCCGAGGGTCTGCCGAGCTTTTTTTCCCCCTCCCCGTCTAATCTACGCGCTCGTGCGAATACTTTGCATTATGCATGTTGCACGCAGCGCGAGGGACCTCGGTCCCTCGCGTCCCCGTGTAATTAGTGCGGCGCGGCGCGGTGCGTGGCGGTCAGTCGCACGGTATGGATTTTCACGGGATCGACGGGGAGCGAGTCTGCGCCGGCCGGTACGTCCGCGGTTCGCAGCTGTGTCGCGCCTCCTCGACCAATCGCGCTCAGTGCCACGCGCGTCACACCAACGAGCGCAGTGCCGTAGGAGTCGTCGCCGGAGTGATCGTACGTTTCGTCGCGAGTACTCCGAGAAGAAGGTAGGTACCTCGCACGCCCTACGCCACACGTTCCCCCGCCTACCCTTAGGAACTATCGTCCACGTGCGAGCACTGTTTCGCGGAACGCGACGCGCCGTTTTCCTTTCTTCGCGTCGTGGCCCGCGATCACGGGTGAATCGGGTGAAAGGAACCGAGACGCACACAAAGAGCGAGAGCGGAGGAGGAGGGGGAGGGGGGAAAGGTACATTCGCATACGGCGTGGGACTGTTTTGTTCATTTCAATCCGTTCCACCTGCCCAAGATAATATTGATTTAAAAAAAAACTACGGGACACCCTGTACGCACACACGTAAGGAAATTCCCCACGGTAGTGCTAATGAAGGAGGTTCGTGGAGTTGCAAGACGGAACTGTTAAAGCCTTGTGTCCACGATACAAGAACTGTGTCCAAGTTCTGGTTCCAAGAAATGCGCAGCCAATCAACTTGCAGCTTTTCCGTAGAAGGTACAGGTCGATTGGTCGCACACTTCTTGGAACTGGAACCTGGACACAGTTCCTGAAGGCTTTGAAGCCTCGTGTCCACGTTCCAAGAACTGTGTCCACGTTCTAGTTCCAAGAAACGCGCAGCCAATCAACTTGCGGCTTTTCCGTAGAAGGTACAGGTCGATTGGTCGCACATTTCTTGGAACTGGAACCTGGACGCAGTTCCTGAATCGTGGACACAAGGCTTTATTTAGATCGCGTCGCATTGAATCCTGCATTGTGTGTGTGTGTGTGTGTTTTGTTTTTCAAGTATACCCGTCGAACCTAAATCCGTACAGGGACACTTTCAAAGTGACGCCGGTCAATATCGAGCGACACGTGCACAGAAATATGTTATCTATCGGGGATCGTCGGCTATCTTGTCCCTCTGCAGAAGAGGGTGGCGCGCAGCCATTCGTGCGACGATACGCAAATTTACGCGTACGTCGGAGCGTGCGCGTCTTCCCCACATGCGCTCCGATAAGCGCTTAGCTTCACGTGTTGACGCATCGGTGACTCTCGTGCGTGCGTCACCTCGATACATCGCAGGCCGTGACTCGCGGCTTGTTTACGCGCGCTCCGGATACCCGAGCGCACTCGCGAAGAATCTCGCGCGCGCAGCGTCGACCGGAGGAGCGCTCGCGCCTCGCCTCGACAGTCTCGACGCCCGTTCGCGAATTATTCCACGCGTCGCTTGAACGTAGCCGCGTTCGCCCCTCGAGCAACTTCACTCCGTCGATCGCGCGGATCGAAGCGACGAGTGCAGCCGGGCGCCGCGATTGGCCGAGCGCGCGTGCCGCGCCGCCTCGCGATTCGCTCGCCTCGCGACGCGTCCATTCCGCTGTAGCCGTTCGCCCGGGCGGCCGCCGCGCGACACGATCGCAGAGCACGCGGCGACGTTTCTCTCCTCGCGCCCAGGGCCAACGGAACGAGCTAGTGAAACGTAAGTGAGAGAACCGGAGGTGATAAATTGCGCCTCCGTTTCACGCCGGCGGATGCGATAGCGAGTCTCCGGTTTCTGCATTTGCCGCACGACGCGCGTATACGACGAAGAATTCACGCGGCGAATCGTTGGCGTCATCAATTGATCGCGCGACCCACGCGCGTGTGTTTCTCCTCCCGTAAGAGCCTCCGATGATCGGATGGTTGTGAGACGAGAATGACGTGTACATTAATCGATACCGATCTATTTATTGCATCTCTTAACGCTTAATGCCGGCGCACGTTACAGAGGAGAGTCCCCTATCGTGAGATACATTTTTATTGCCCTCAGAGTGAAATCTGTTTGGGTGAAAATTCATTCTTAAGCCTTGTGTCTGTGATCCAAGAACTTTGTCCAAGTTCTAGTTTCGAGAAATGTGTAGTCAATCAACCTGCAGCTATTCCATAAAAGCCATAAAAGGTGATTGGCTACGCATTTCTCGGAACTAGAACCTGGACACAGTTCTTGGATCGTAGACACAGGCCCTTAAGCCTTGTGTAAAATAAAAAAGATATATGGATAATTATACAAAAAATCGAGCATACATTCAAGCCAAGAAATAGCTTAATCAGATAAGCAAGGTTAAGACAATTTTGTTTTACTATTTTCTTGGAATTTCTGTCGATTTTCGATATAACAGATTATAAAAATCACGTAATGCACGAAGAACTTCGCCCATTTCCATAAGGGTGTTGGGCCATCGGGACTTAAATTATATGATTATATAATTTCATAGCTAATAACGGCAGTATTAAAGAAAAAATAGTTTTAGATCTTCAAACCGCCGCCGAAAGCAGCTCTCCTAAATTTCTCCGGTCATTTCATTCATTCGATAGAGTCTGTCATCGGAGCTATTCCAGGTGACGAATACGTCATTTACTCATTTGTATGCTCAGAAAATATCTATGTATATATCATTAGAAAGATATTTAGTACATCTCTCTTTGCCGTAAAGATTTCTTGTATCAAGTATCAAGTCACGCAAGGTCTCGCTATCGGGCAACACGTGGCTCAGGATACAGAATAGAACTCAGCTGTGATACTGGAGTTAATGATCTCGTTGATTGTAACATCGATATTGTGGATTTAATATTTCTTAAATACAGTCCAGGCGTGTTAATAAAACACGGTACCATGTTACATTGTAGCAGAATACAACGATGAAGAGACGTCGTTAAAGTATACACTGAGAAAACAGTCTCTGAAAATTTATTTGTGGCATATAACGTTTATTTCACTGAAATAAACATTACATGCCTCAAATAATGTTTATTTTAGCGAAATAAACATTATATGCCACAAATAAATTTTCAAAGACTTTTCTCTCAGTGTATTACTGCACTGACAAATAGATTTACTTAAAAAATTATTTTTTTTACCGAAGTAAATATTTATTCTATTTGAAGAAAAGTATTACATTTCAAGTAAATCTGTGTATTATATTATTATAAGTAAATTAATTTAAGTCATTACACTTTCTACACTCAAATAAAGATTTCATGAGATAGAAAATACTATTTATTAAATGAAATCATTGTTTTTGTCAAATAAGAAATCCAATTTTCTTCGCTGTAAAACTTATATCTTAGTGAACATTTTATAGAGTTAGAGTAAATTTTTTAAATTTAAAATTATCTACTGTTTGATATTTAATAAATACTTAAAGAAACACATGTTTCAATTTGTTTATTATAATTTAAGTTAACAAGCTATTAGGAGCCACTTAATGAATAATTTTCTTGAGTAAAGTCATATCTTTTTGGATGGAAATATTTGTTTTTATCAGTGTATACATGTAAGAATAGTGCTCGTACATTTAGGATATGCTAAGAACCTTTCTCATGGTATACAGATATTTTCTGAGCGTAGCAGTGGCACGTTTGTCATCTTGGACAGCTCGGATGATGAGTCATTGGACTATTAAATGACATTTCTAGATTCGTATCACATGAAAATTTGTCGCTACATTTCGGGTGATGATTCAGTATGTGGAATATTTAACTGATATGCCGCGTCATATTATGTAAATTGAACCGAAAGATATCGCGCGATATACGTGCGCAGAAAAAAATGTCAGTCGCCATTGTATCTAGTGTGCAAATTGCAACACACGTTGCAACTTTCCTGCGTAAGCGTCAGTAAGTAAATCTCGCAGGCAGAATTTCTACGATAAAAACATTATTGCGCGTCGCTGTTTTTAAAACAATTCCACGCTAATTAATTGCAACAATACGATGCGATTAATCTCTGTTTAAACGAGCGCGACTTTAAGCTCTTAATTCGCAGTTGCAGCGAGCCGAGCGTTTAAAACTTGATAGAATAACAAATTTGTTGCGTCAGAGATGCGCAATAAAGCTAATCCTACAGTATTAATATCAATGTGGAAAACAAATTGTAATATATGTTGTTAATTTTGATTGGTATCTATGCGCTTTAAAGCAATCTACGGTTTATCTTCACGAATAATTTTCTACTAAATTACGTATTATGATCTATGCATTCGTTTCATTAATTCGACAATCAAATGGCAATCAAAATTCTTTCACGTTCGCAATTGTTATGAAGATTATTATATCACAGTGTAATGTTATTTTCTCACAATTAGCCTTTCTTATCGGAAGATAAGAATTCTTGTGTGATAAGAAGAGATCTTTTGATATGATTTTCTTATAATTTAAGGAAGGAGGGATGATAGAGTACAATGCTACAATTTTAACAGAGGACTGGTGGGGCTCAGTTTTATCTGTCATTATAATTAATGTTTTGTACAACATCTATTGAATGATTAAGTACAATAACAATCTCGAGTATTGCAGAAAAATATAGAGATTTAAAAGAAACATATTTTTAGCAAATGGTATTTCTTAGAATCGTATTGCAGAGGCGTATACGTTATATATATATATATATATAAAAGGCCATGCGCTCCATGCGAGAAAATATACAAGGTACAATCTTTCCAAGAATATATCTTCTTGGAAAGATTGTACCTTGTATATTTTCTCGCATGGAGCGCATGGCCTTGTAGACTGCGCGCTCCGAGAGCTTATCGAGAGAGCCGTGACTGATAATGCAGCCACGTCAACGCCGCGGATAATTAAATAAAGCGGGCACTCAAGGTGACGAACGCACTTGCAGAATTATGGAGGATGTGATGGCCGTGAACGGAGCGAAGGAGGTGAACGGTGACGCGGACAGGATCTACTACGAATTGGACGGTGAGGGCGATGCCGACAGCTCGACAACTCCAAGCCACAACGTGGACCACCATCGCGATCGTGAGTACCGTCGAGTGTCATTTTACGATGTAACTGGTCCTAATCAATCAGGCGTGCGACGAGTCGTTGCTATATGCATTAACAATAATGATAGATTTATTGCAATACATACTGTACAGTGGAGAATAAATAATTACGGGGCAGGATAATGAGAGCGATTTAAAAGTCGGAAAGTTGTCACAAAGTTAACAGACGTTTATCCGAGTCGAGCCAACGTTTTCCCTTAGCTTCTTGAGGTGTAGCGTAGTTTAGGAAATGCAGTGTTAGTCCTTGACGAGTGTTTATTCGCTGCGTCAAAGTTACCCCTTTGACCTCCTGAAAGGGTTGCACAGAATTACTTTTTGAAAGACATTTACTCGTCGGAAATAGAAGCTACACGGGAGAGAATTTTCTCGCCCAATTTATCCTGAAAATCATGTGGTTGTGGGACAACACGGCATTTCGAGAAATTTTATGCGAATTTTTTGAAATTTTCCCGTACGTTTTGCTAGTAATTGCCTGTACTTATTGTTAGTACACATTTTACTAGTAAAATGTATGGCAAAATTTCAGAAAACTCTCATACAGTTTTTCAAAATGCCAAGTTATCCCACGATCCCATGATTTCAGAGTGAATTTTAAGAGGAAATTCTCTTCGTGCGCACTTCTTGAATTCTCGAACGGCAAAATCAAATCAATGACACTGAAATCACAAGAACAAAATCTCCGATCAATTTGAGACTTTTTTTTTCTCTACAAAGCTCCAATTAAGTGTTGCATTTCGCTGCGATTTTGCGCTTCGAATGGCCGATCACGCCGCTCGACTGCAATTACAGCGCGAAACGTATCGCGGCACTAGCATTATAGCAGTCACGATTCCCACATAGCTACGTTTTATTTGGCCGCACGGAAGGCGAAGTTAATTAAAGTTTGCGAGAGGGATGGAGATCGATATGAATTATACGCGGCAGCCGCGATAGGAAGACGAATGCCTCGGAGATTTTCCAGCGTCAGAACTCGCCGTTTCTCGTGATGCTATATATGTATGGAAATGCCAGCGTGAAAAATGGTAAATAATCGAGGAAAGCCAGGAAGAAATGTCAAATAAGCGAGAAAAATTAACGAAATCGCGAGAACATGAAACTTTCATGATCGACGGACAGAAACGAGTTGAAATTATTGTCCCATGCTTCGATCTCTATAATTTCATCATTTACCAGAAAAGTTTATAACAGCTTCAAGCACGCTTTACGTGGTTTATCAAACTGTGACAATTCCAGTCACGGCGAACCATTCGATTGGCAGCGAGGACTGTTCGCGTAAAGCTCGTTTTATTTTTTATTTTTACGAGTTCTCCTCGTGTTACAATCGGCATTGCGATAAATATTACCACATGTTTCGGCTCGAATTGGTTGACACCCGTCCTAGACAGTAGGTTGGTCTAGGTTTAAATCCCAAGATAATATTTTTCGCAATAAATTCTTTACAGTGTCCAAAGTATACTCATCTAACATTTGTTAAATTGATTATCAATTTAATAATGTACACTATTTTGACCACAGCGCAGACTGTGTTTCAAGACCGAAAGTTAACGGCGCGCAGTTTACTTAGTTGGAAAGCAACATATGACAAAAACATATTATTAGGCACCAAGAAAATATTTGTGGCCAGTTTCGCAAACGTCGGTGAACTGTTACCGGTTCGATCAACTCCCTATCTTTCTGCTTTATTCTTTACGAGAAGACGGAGAATCAATTAATCTCCGGTTAGCAGTTAACCGACGTTTGCGAAACTGGCCCTTAAAGCCGTTGATTAACAACGTAAAATTCCGTTAATGTACGCGTGCGAAGATTTCGAAAATTGGCAGGTAGCCTAAGACCTTCTCTCTCTGCAGACGGCCGATAGTATTTTGGCCGTCGCGGTCACAATGGTGCCATCGGTGCTCGTCTCGCCTCGTCAGTGCGAGGCGAGACTTTCGGAACGTGAATAGAGTTAGGCTTCCCAGAAGTAAACCGCGATTCGGCCGTCACGGTAGTTTCGCGGTGCTCCTCGTCGAGTCGTGTTATGCACAGTCGTAAATCCCGGGATAAAGTGGCGTTACGTGAAATTGTCAGAGTTTCTGGAAAGACATCTCTCTCGCGATATAATCCGGCCGATTCGAAGGTCGACGTCGATGGTGAATCCCGAAAGTGACGTACGTGAGGTTTAGGAGATTCCGCGGAAACAGCTCCGGCGGCGATTGCACAATTCTGTCGAATACTGGCGATAATTGGCCGGCGAGACTCACGTTTCTCAATTCCGATCTAATTGAGTGAATTATAGATAGTCTTTACGATACAGGTAACGAGGTCTTTTCTTAGGTTTCTCGATTCAAGATAAATGACTGTAATTACGTTATCTTCCCCACACGACACTCTAAAAATTGGTCATTGGCAAGAATTACTGATGGAAGAATAGAAAAATTAAGTTACTTGTCCAGAACACGAAATAAGTTACAACTTAATTTAATAATTTCTCAGTTTATCTTAATCACAACAGTGGAGCGTTGAGACGTTAGTCACATTTGTTTATCAAGTTAAAAGTTTTGTACCGCTAAATTTCCAAGATGGAAATTTCAGTCGAACTCTCCTCCAGACAAACATTTATATCGCTTGCTCGTCGACGCCCAGGTGTTACATAGGCAAATTGGCAATCTCGTCGCGTTTCGCGATTCTGATCCAACCGGAAGCGCGGATTTACGATCACATTTGTCGCTTCTGAATTCGCGACGTTCCGGCAGTCCCTATTGTGTCTCGCTCGCCTCTGTGACCTTGTTCGCGCGTGTCGTTGATAAGCACGGTGATTAGCGCGTTATTCAGCGTAATGCCTTCGACGTATAATAGCTAGAAGCGCGTCGCGCTGTTAAGTCGCCTCGCCGTCATCCAGCTCGATCCTTATCTCTCGCGAGCGATTGTAGTCTTTTTTTTCAGAGTCACGGAGATAGGATATCGCGAGAGAACATTCGCGGCACTCTAGAGAATCTCCGGGCAATCTTTTATTTATCAGCAGGAGCGAGCTAATAAATTTTCTGTCGAAGTAAAAGGAGGCGCCGGTAGTGCAATTTACGCCGTATCGAGGACCGCTTGATTCGGGGGCGATCTGGGGAAAATGTCGATCAGGGGTGTGACCACTTCGGAGAGCGAAGCGTTCCTCGGTTCCTTGCGCCTGCCGAATTTTCTGATTGACCCGGACGAATTTTATGAAGGTAAAAGCGAGCGCGAGGGCTCGTGTATCTGTCGAATTGTGCGATGCTTAACCGCTTGTCGTCGGAATCGGTGTAATTGGCAAAGCGCATTCACGTCGACGTCACCTCGCCACCAAACTGTCCGAGATAACGGCATCTCTGCGCCGCGGACGGATTATTCCGTGTAACGTGTGTGAATAACAATGGTGACGTGTCTGTGTCCGTTGTAATCGCATCAGCGTTTCTTAATTTGTCAATAATGCAACTAACAGTCGAGTCATCGTACTCGTACCTGCATCCTCTTAACCCTTTGAAGCATGGTGGTAACCCACGTTACCACCTCAACTTCTTTACTTTTTGGCCACATGATTTCCAGTTAACGCATCTAGGTCGGGATTTTTGCATTCTTTGGGTATCTTAGCGATAAAAGAACATAAAAAAGTTTAGTAGTTTTTAATATTTATTGTAAAAGTTTTATAAACAAACAAATAAGAAAGAAACAGCAATTTTTTGGGAAAAATTTATTACTGGCCAAGTTTTTTGAGATTATTTCTTCAAAACTTTGTACAAATGGATTAGGTTTCACAAAAAAAATGGTTCGATAGAAAAATATATGCTTTAAAGGGTTAATTGCGAAATGTACTTATTGTTGGATTATCATGTTTATACATTTGATCTGTAGAGATCATGGATGTCTATACATTTTATTTAACACCCAATTCCCGAAAAACGAAAAATCACACTGGTTCTATAATTATGAAACGCACTGTATATGCGTATTTCTATGGAGTTTTTACACCTTTTTTTATGCCTTTCCGGAATTTTCCGACCGTGAATCGTGTCGCTTATCTTCCTAAGCTCAATATCACATTTGTCGTACGACAAATGTATTATATTAGAGCGTGCTCTTAAAACATACATGTTACTCAAGTTAACTATCCAAGTTATCGCCAGTACAAGCGGGAGATGTTAACGAAGGAGGAAACGTTGCACTTGACCTTGTTTGGGATTATTGTTCCGCTCGAATTATCACGATAGGATTTTTTTGCCTCAAAGTTCGAATAACATGTTCGAGTTATGTAATTATAGTTTCGATCATTTCTCTATTTACGATCAAGGCCAAGATATGAGGCGGCGTTTATTTATTTTATGCAATTACGCACCTGTTTTCAGTAGAATAGTTCAATTTTTACTTAAGGAAGGAGATATTATATCTTCCCCCGAAATTCATTATTTTAAAAAATCGTGTATGAATTAATTAAACAAGCTTTAACTATTTTCATCATACATTAAAATATTTTTCTCGATTTCACCAAAATGGAAACTCGTAAGTTTTATTTCGATGGCGGAAATAGAAATAGAAAACGTTCTAACTGCAGGATTGTTTCAAAAGGATTATGTTTATCTTTTGTGTTTGACGCAAGTGTCTTTATGTAAATTGTTATAAGTGTCATAATACAAGCTGCAATCCTGTAATGTTACGCAAGAATCTTTTAGAAAAATATTACCGGCCTTTGCCGGTCTAAAAGATTCTTGCGTAACATTATGGACAACAGTAACGAAGAAAATAATTACAACCGAGAATACTTAAAAATATATCCGCAGAAGAGATTTCATTATCACAAAATAGGATCGATATTGCGACAATCATATTATTATCGGGAAGGGAGTATTTTATTCTTAAATGGAAGAGTCTTAAATTTAGAATAAAATGATGTTAGTGCGTGCTTCATAACACATCGAGAGAAGATTTATTCTAAACGCAGGATATAAGCTTAAAATACATATATGTTACAAT